CACAGAAGAAAACTATTTATTTCAGGTAATATGATTTTGCCAATGGAGACAGAGAATGAAGGAAAGGGCCTGAGTATTTGGTGACAGAAAGGAAAGCTGGCAGGCTACTTTATACATTGCTTACAGGAGACAAAATGCAAGGGGCAGTCTTTAAAAGCAGCAGAATAAGCAGGCTTTGGGCAGGATCCAACTGAACCCCAGCACTAAGTAGGTGTAACTTCAGGAACTTACACTGCACTAGCATAATAAACTTCTAACAAAACGCCAGTAGTATTGCTTTGGCCAGAGAATCCTGCTGCGTCAGCTAATGCTATTGGCATTGAGTTGCGGTAACATGAAGCGAAAAAACGCACCCTCCTTCCATGCTAACATGCATCTGGCTGCTGCCCCCAGAAGCCTGCTGTTCCTAACATTAACAACTACAGGTGAGCTGCTTATTAAGATTACAAGCTCAATGAATACTGCTTCATATAGTTAGCCGTACACTGACACATGGGCCATGGGACCAGGGAACAGTTGTGCTGATTTTAACCACAGTATCTCTCCTTTTTGGGGGTGAGAAATACTTTATACAGCCAAATTCAGTACTTCTCAAACAACCTAACAATCTGTGGGCCCTTCAAACTGTAGCTAAGTCATATAAAGTATGTGCAGCTCTTCTCTATATAAAGCCAGGATAATCTTCTAGCCTCTTCTGCAAAGAAACTGTGTTCAATACACTTTGCATGGGCTTGCTTGATCTTCGCTGTTTGCTGTTGTCTCAGTGCTATTTTTGCACCATTTCTATTTTGAATTCTAGCTACTTCTGAAATAAGAATAAGGCAAAAATAGGCGGTAAGGAAGAAGAGCAAGAAAAACAATCCCGAGAAATTAAAAGTATGTCCCACCCGCCACCCCCCGTCAGCATAGAGCTGCTATGTGAAACAGCTGATCAGTGGTCAAGTGAGCACACCCCCACACTGAGGTTTATTTATTTTTAAACTGTGGTTCTCAAAGATTTGTATTTAATACAGCTGAGCTGAATTTTTGCTCCTGAAATTTTCCGGAAGAAAAGCAAGGATATAATAAAGCTTCACAAAAACTGCCCAAACATTTTTCCTGACTGATATCAGTAGCAATATGCAGGGCTTCTTTTCTTCCCCTGTTGATTTGCTCAGGTAATTTTTGAGCATGTGCGGTCAACTTTCTTCTTCAACAGCACCAATCATTAACCATCAATGGCCTTACAGGTTACATAAAGAAGTTGCAGTACCATGTATGTCGCAGCCAGACCTGGCTGCATAAAGTTAAACAAAGCAGTATTTGGGAAGGGAATATTTCTGAGGCAAAATGTTGCCTCTTGTCTTGTTTTGAGGCAGGATACGGTGGCAAGAAGGGAGTGCTTGGTGTACCTCCCAAGATGGATGTGATCTCTTTTTCCATGGGATGCAAATCTGAATGTGTATCCCTACCCACGTCTGATGGAATTGGTTATGCGTAACATGAGCAGAAAGCTGTATGGGAACCACTGAGATCAGCTCAGATACCCTTGCAACGGGGCTGAATTCTTTCTGCTCTTGGGGCTTTTCAGGTACACAGAAATATAGTCAAAGCAGACATCTCAGCAATTGTTTTTACACATCACAAAATCAATGCAAATAATGTTGTGTTGGCTGAGTTAATCATTTATGTAGAATTGATGCTTTTGATATGTGAAAACATTTTATACTTGCATGAACACTCCATGATTTCATTAGCTATTAGATTTTTCTGGAAGGGAAATGCAGTCATGCTTTTGCTGTAGTAGATGATCAGATATTCTCTGGGAGATGCTTGTGCTCCTGGTTTTGTTAGCCTTGTATTCTTCTTCAGAAAAACTGTTCCATACAGCACATGGTATCTGTGCATATAACTGCATAAAACCTCCATCTGGCCATATGACAGATGTCAGAAATTAGAATTTGTATACTTGGAATTTAATCCACAGAGCGCTGAAGCTCTGTAGATACAGAACTCTAGCACTATGTTCAACCTTTTTTCTTCATCTTTGCTAGTCTTCTACTTTTGACACTGACTAGTTTCAGAGTGTCAGTGATGGAGCCAAAAAGATATTCTTGGTTTTCACATATTTAGTCTACATTTAAATCAATGACTTAACACTGAAAACAACTTTAGATGTACTACTTACAGTTCTTCCCATGAACAGACATGAACTGTGGGGGGTCAGAGTTCCCTACATTCTTCCTAGGAGATTCCTCTCTCCCCAACACACACCACTACCTGATTAGATTCATTAGGCCATCAATATGAAATGTCAAAAACATCCATGTTACATTCAAAGGCTGCTCTGCACTAATGCAAAGCTCTTCAGCCCATTGTAAATCAGAGAAAACAGTTTCTCACTGATCCCCCATATCTACTACACCTGAGAATTAGGATGCCCTCTGGAACATCATAGCAAGCAGGAAGGCAGGAGGGTTTGGCACACCCAAGGTGCTCTGCCCAATGCAGATGGGTGTGTTGTACAAGTGGGTCTGAAGATACAAATGAAAGCTGCAGACAATCTAAGAGAGGAACGTATATTTATAGAAAACATATTAAATTGCAGTGCAATTGCAGACCCACCATTAAGGGTGCTTTACACACTTCAGTCAGTTCAGAAGAACTTACACTTATAACATGCACTAACGTAATACGTGGGGCAGATACCTTCATTTATTTACTGTATCTACACTGCACAAACGTGCTGCTGAAAGCTGCCATCAATTACAGCTTCTTCCAAGTCCAGGATGCTCTTGCAGTTAAAATGCTCTTCCCTGGAATGTAATATGTGAATGTTTCCAAGTGATGGCCTTGTAGTCTAATGCCTCCTAAAGTTCCTAAGATGTCATAACTTTGCATTATACCTTGTAAGGCACATCTTCACAGTGCTCCAAGGGGAAAAAAAAAAAAAACCTGGTTCTATTATCAATCTATTTTAGAATTTGATATACCATTTCTCATTTTAAAAGCTATGAATCGTTTACATTATCATTATTGTTTTAATTATTTAAAAAGACCTAAATATTAAAGTACAAGTTATTAATTCATTATTAAAATAAATTATTGTCTGACATTTATTATATATTTATTTAATTTTTGCACATCAATATGAACTATAATTGCCAATTTTAGAGCTGGTAGTACCAAATGATGCTTTAAAAGGATTTATTCAAACAGTATAGAAAAACGTTCAAATGGAAGCACTATTTCTTCAATCCGTATATCTGTTTCAGTCTGCTGCTGAATATAAGTTAATATGCTCTCTGAGAGCTTTGCATCATATAGTTTCTACACATGTGTAGCCATGGGGAGCATAAAATACAAATGACAAGTACATTTAGTCCCACAGATAACTGAGCAGTAAGAATATTAATGGTTTTCTCTTCAAAGTGCAGGAAGAAAAGGGAGAATCAAGACAATGGCCTAAAATACCTAAAATGAACTGCTTTATTCAGAATGTTCAATGGGAATGTTAGTAGTAACATTCCTGTTAGACACTATATTTAATCAAGTGTATCTTGGTGCTTTTGTTTTTATTAAGAATACAATTAGAGGAAAATTAAACACAAAAACAAAAAAAGCAGGGGGGGGGGTTTAAAGCAAACCAATCTTACAAGTAGAAATGCTAACATTTACTCTTAAATACTGCCTCTCCAGCAGGTTAACCTATCCATTGGCTGACCTGCAATGATATCAAGGTAGTTTATGATATTCTAACCGCTATAAGAATGAATCAATTCACACAATATTGACCAACAGTGCAGCTTCTGGAAAGAAAGTGAAAGTAGACGGAAAGCAGATAAAGTATTTCAGTGCTTTAGAGAGGCAATAAGGATGAAGGCCGATAAGAAAGATATATAAGGGGGAAGTGTGGTTGGAGAAAAGGGAACATAAGATACTTTAAGGTGCCAGCAGTGCATGTAACTCCCATGAAGAATATGAGCCACACCAAATAAAGGGGGAACTTCCCAATCCCAGTTATGATGAATAGACATAATTGCAGTAGGAAAAGACAATGCCAATTACACTTGGCATGCATTCATATTAGTTTTCTGTTTCTACTGATAATCATTGCATCCCCAGAGGAAAAGGGAAGAAATCCTTCAAACTAAGGGAAAATATCAGAATTTAATCGACCAGATCCAAATCATGGGAATGGTAATGATAATCTAGCCTTCACAGATTTATCCATCCAAGTACCTAGAGTGCAATTTAAAAAAAATAAATATGATCAATAAATGAATGTTCATTTAAAACCAATACAAGAAAATTAAACATTTTAAACTGTTCAATGACAACTTACTTGTTAATCATCCAACACTTCTGGTCCACTTATAAAATTGATGTTCATTGGTGTAAGTGACCTCTGCGCTACACCAGTAAGATATGCTGTTGCAATTGGTTTTCATAGAAACCAGTCACACCAGGTTGTAAAGTGCATAGACTGCTTGGTCACTTTTACTAGTGTGATGTCAACTACCCAAGTTCAGAGGAAGCTTGATTGATATTAACAGGTGAATTGTGAAATGAATTTCACAATAATTGTTCTGAAACTTCTGTGCACTTGTTTCAGACAGCTCTTTTAAAGAGCAAATATCAGAAGCATAATAATTATAATGAAATGTTTTTAATGAAAAGTTCCTATCAATGACATAATGGACAATGAGCTTCTCCCTCTGTTAAATGTAACCAAAAAGCTACATTTGTGCATATGCATCATTCATAAAATTTATTCTCTTATTTGGAATGTTAAAGGGTTTGTGTCTATATTCTGTTCTAACCGTCTGATACAGTCTTGTCACAGTAAATCATGGTGGACCAAATGCCTCCTGTTTAAGATTTGATTGCAAACAAAAAACAAAAATCATGGAGGGCCAATTGCAGCATTTTTCTTGCTGCTGAAGAATCAAAACTATCACACCTGTTGCAATAAATACCAGAAAAATACAATAAATATGTTTTTTTTTTCCTATTCCCACCTTTTTATAGGCAATCCAGTCGAAGACCCTGTCAATGTCCGTGGCTTGCTGCACTTCCTGTGATACCGGGTGTGAACTAGTCAGGCCATCCAGCAGCATCACTTCATGCAAGACATCTGTCAGAAACCTCTGCTTCTCCTGAAATACAGCAAGACATACTCACACCTTTTCAATTACACAAAGAAAATGCAACACTGTGAAGACAGCAGTTTCAACATTACCTTTTGAATGCACTTCTGATCCCTGATATCTAATCAATTGTGCTTTAGGAAAGCGCAGTAGTTCCCCATGCAGGTCTTTCATGCATGAATGAGAATTCCCAGAGATTTTTAGAGCAGAACCACTGTATCTTTAATAAATGCACCAGTAGATTAAAATATGGTATGTGTTGAAACGTGGTGGTGGAGGAGAGCTTTGTGAATGCTCTGTTCTGGCTGAAAGTCAAACAAGAAGGTTCTAGAGCAAATCAGGCCAGAGATTTCCCTAGTGGCAGAACTGACAAAACTGAGACTGACACATTTTGGGCACATCATGAGAAGGCAAGATTCACTGGAAAAGACAATCCTGCTAGGGAAGGACAAAAACGAAAGAAAAGGGAAACCAAATATGAGATGGATTGACTCCATAAAGGAAGTCAAAGCCTCGAATTTACAAAAGTTCAACAGGGCTGTTATGGATAGAACATTCTGGAAGTCTTCATTCATAGGGTTGCCATAAATCAGAAACTTATTTCTAAATGCAGACAACTGTAAGGGGGCAAAACTTTACTATGGAGTATGGCGTCCTTACACTGCTTCCTATACATACTACACAAAATCTGAGGAATGTCAGGGAATTAAATGCCTTTAATGCTAAGAGGGTGCATTTTGCTGATACATGTATTTATAGGCCGCATATAACTGCTGAGGCCTTCCTGCCATAGCCACACTCTGGCAAGGGTTAAGCAACCTTAGCACAAGTTCCCATGTATATCCATATGAAGGAGGCTATGCTGGTTAAGACTTATTTAATAAACCATCCTTAAATTATATAATCTCATGTCTACATTATGAACTTTTTAAAAACTGATAATGATCCACTCATATAAGCACTGTTCTGGGTGCTTTGAGTCTTTTTTTTTCATTTGTAAAAATGAATTACAAGCAGATAAAATAGCAATTTATACATATGTGATGTGTAACTACTTTATGTGATTATACCCAGGGCTTTTTTTTGTCATAGAATGCACCAGAACAGTGTTCCAGCACCATTTTTTGATGGATTTTTCCAAGTGATTGTGAATTGTCCTGTTGGGTGTAGCAGGTCGGCAGCAAAAATAATTAAAATAGTGCTTGCGGGCTGCTTGTGTGTCTGCGTTGATTGTGAGGGTGCTGCTTGGCTTGGGATGCTGCTCGGCTTGGGATTGGTCGTGTGGTCGCGTGCTGAGTTCTTACTGCTGGCGACGACTATTATGTTTATGTGTGTGTAGAGTGACTGGCTATGTGCAAAAGATAAATAAGTTCTTTATTTCAAAAAAAGTTGGTGAATTGAAAATCTTTTTTAGTGTAAAAGTGTGACCCCAGGACATGAGTTCCAACACTTTTTTTTAACAAAAAAAGCACTGATTATACATATGGAAATGTTCTGGTTATCAATGTGCTAATTCAAGTATATTGTAAATCAACAGAAAAGGTGTTCCATTGATAATCCATCTGGAAATTCATTTTTATGTCAAAATGCATCAAAGTACAAGATATGTGCTAGAGCTTATTTTATATTTAAACTTTTGAAGCACTAATAATCTAACACACACATGGCACTTTTAATCTGAGCATGTTGGGTTTGCACTTGAACAAAAATGCAGTAGGTTATAACTTACCTTTGCTAAATATGTTATTTGAACAAGTTTCTTGCTACTTCACAAGAATCAAAATAGATTACCCTTTTAGTAATGGAGAGTTCAGATTGAAATTAAGAAACAAGATTAAATGTAGGTGCATTTAGAGGTAGGTTGTTTAATTTAAGTATGCCAAATGCATGTCTTTCAAATACACCTGGTGGAAACTGAGTATCTGAAGACCTTACACTAATGAATATTGAAGTTTGATTCTTTGGACATGATGACAGAAGCCTTGCATCTTTAAAGCTTTTGAGAGCAAGGATACCTACCAAGAAAAGTATTTTTTGCAGTTTTGCTACTCCTGTAGATCCTCAAAACAATGAAAACACAATACACTAAACACAAGTAAATTCTTGGGCAAATGTAATTTATTTCAGAAAATGGGCTATTTCCAGGTCTTATTATCATCTTGGAGAAAACTAATGAAGAACTTACAATTGCTCAGTAACATGAACAAAGTCATTGATCTACATCCTTCTGCAAAAAACAGTAATTTATAAAATCTAACTCTTTCACAGTTAAAAAGCAAAATAGTTGTAGTTAAAATAAATGAGAATGTAACTGTTCCTCTTTGCTACCTTTGTCAATATAAAATGTACCTACAAAACTAAACAGAGAAATATGGTCCAACAGAGAGTTTCAGCAATATTTGTATCTGATACTTAAAACAAAAACAAAAACTGCTACTTTTTTTCTCAAGCTTCATGGAAGTTTATTTTTAATGCATATGCACATACACTTATCATGATAAAAATAATATAATTTAAGAGTCACTATTCCTGGTTTTATATTACTTATTGAGGCATAAACAACACCTTCTGATCATTAGCATGACAATAATGTAATATTTGAGCCAGGCATTTGAAAAATAGTTTTCAAAACATAATATGAAATAGCAAGACAAAAGTATTTAAGAGTGAAACAGCAACTGAATTGCATCCAATAAGAGAACAAAAGGAATAGCACAATGTAAGTCATAACTGATAATTAGTATACATAAGAGATCAAAGGCCTAAGCGTTAAAAGAACATCATTGTATTAGAACAGCCATTCAAACAGTTCACAGATTAAAGAGACCTGCTTGAATTGTATTTAATAAGGTCTTTCTATTCTCCAAATCATATTCCTGACAAAATGTATCACATCTTTTCCAGAAAAAATACTTCTATTAGCAAGTAGAAATATGCAAGATCTTACTACCTTTTACATATTTTGTATATAGAAAGATTAATGTAGGAGAACTTTGACAAGCTAGAGGTTAAAATCTAGGAACTCCCTAATGGTCATATTCAGTACATAAAAGGACTGAGTTGTTTTGTCTGTGCTTTGCTCATCTTTTAGCTATTATCCTCCAACCTCATAGCAATGTGCAAAATCACTGATATTTGAGGTGCATCACTGATAGTTCCATCTTTAAAATGGGAGTGCTTATCTCAATAATATATTAGAGTAACAGATACTGACCTCCAAAACATTTTTGGTGAATATAGATAGAATTAGAATTAATCTATCTCAGTTCTAATCCAGTACACTGGAGACACAGAGCAAATAATTATACTATTACAGAACTATATTTATACAGACGATCCCTATCAAAGTAATTACATAATAAATGAAACAAAGGAAAACTAGATAAACTCAAGTCTCAATTATTTTCATGTACAGCTCAGCTTTTTCCAAAGGAAACCTACCACCTGTTCTCCATCCAACTTATTCTGTAACTTGTGCCTTCCATTATCAAGGCTTAAATTTATGCATACCACAATCTAAATGTATCTTTGGATACCTCGGTGTACACTCCACCACATCTCAAAAGATTTCTCCATTCATTATAGGAAAGAGGGAAACTCCTTTCATCATACTGGCTTTCTTTATCCCAGTTTAGTTCCTTATAATATGGATTATCAGAAAAAATGGAAAATAATGTCTAGACATTTTCATTTTCATGTCACCTCCAGCATTTTGTAATGTGAGGAAGCCAGAAGTGGCTTTCTGTTTACAGCAAATACAGCAATCATCTACCAATCATCTGCATCTGTCAGATTGCAACCAAGTGGCCTTTCGTACTCAGATTCCTCGCCCTGATCAGTTCTAGCATCTTCATATTGGATCTTTTTCCCAAATGGATTGCATTTGGTTCCCACTACACCACAAGAGATATGGTGAGGGAGCAGATGTACAGTTACAGCAAAGCAAGAGCTTTGAAGCATATTTTCATATCAATCAAGACAGCCTTTGGGCTATTGGGCAGGATAAAAATGTATTAAATAAATAAACAGCAGTTTGACCTATTTTCCCATACAACATTGATTCAAAGGGAAACCCCGTGCTTAAAGAATGACAAAAATGTTTGTTCGGTGCACTTAGAAGGCCAGCCTGTTTTTGCCTTAGATCTGTTGATCCTGATGGTGGTTGTAGGACATTTTCTACTTCCCATGCTAACGATACATCGGTTTGATGGCAGCATGTGCAGTTGAAAAATTTGTTAGCATCTAGGCTCAGCCCTGCTGCTTTTATGGCTTTAGCACTGCCCGTTTTATTGGAAGCACTGACTGAGGTTGATCAACTATATCAGCCAACAATCTATGTGTATAAATACTGGTGGATAAATAAATACAATCTATGTGTATAAATATTGATGAATAAAACAATACAAGGAATGATATGCTATGATGATATATGATACACAGGATCTTAATCAAGAATGGAATAATGAATCAGAGCACCCAATCTTACTCAAATCAATAGAATTGACTGAGGTAATGGATCTTAGGTTATGTTTAATTCAGCAAAAATTGTTGTTTTGAATATATGACCATCATGTCTTTTTGATTAAATCAGCCAATTGTTGGTGGTGCAATGCAGCTAATGTGTCTCTTATTTACGCATGTTGGCTATGCCCAATGGCTACTTTTCCTTTTGGAGGAGGTAATAAATCAGATAAATTCTGGGATGGCAATTTATTTATTTGTTTGTTTGTTTACGGCTTTTCCACACTGTCAGCTATTCAGAAGACTCTCAAGATGGTTTACCGAAGCTAAAAACAACAGGACAGTTTTAAAAAATAAAGACAAAGGGAAAACGCTGTCATTTTCCTTGGAATTTCAGTGCCGCAGCTTGCTAGCTACTTCAGCAGGACATCAAATAACCTTTTCCCTTTGCCTAGCAAGTACTAATGATGTTTTGCTACCATTGATTTTTCACTAGCACTATGACAGCATTAATTAATACCCTGAACTGTTTTCAGTAAGCATAATTC